GTCAGGGTACGTATTATTTAATGGGGTAGCATTCATTACCTTCTCTTACTGACAGGGATTCAAGTTGGCGTCTGACTGTCCTGAGAATATGATGCAATATCATAAGCTTCACTTTGGCGTAGCGCGTAGGATCCTGCGTCGAAGCGCTAAGATCAGCTTGACTTGAACTTGAAACCCCGCAAGCCAGAACCCCCCTTCATCAATACATAAACTCACCTCCCCTTCAGGCCAGAGCCAGCGTCCCCAGAAAATTGAATCGAGCGGGACCGTCACAGTGAGGCAGAGCAGACCTGTCACACATCGGTGTCACACATTGGTGTCACACATTGGTGTCACGTATGGTTTCGTTTGGTTTATATTGAAGATTTCATTTGGCGCAGAGTACCGTGACCTGCTGGAGCCAGGTCTCGGTTGCTACCGAAATTGGAATAAAATTCTGGTTTTAAACCATTTTACAGTTTACAGTACTTATCGCACTGGTGAAAACCTCGCCGGTGAGATTTTAACCAAGAACAACGTCCTGGCTCCAGCAGCCGCGAGGCAGAGCAGGCCTGAATCATTTCATATCTGCTGGAGCCAGGACTCTGTTCTTGGTGACAACCTTGCACGCAAGGTACCAAAGTGATAAGTATTGTAAATTGTAAAGTGGTTTTTAACCAGTATGGTTTTCAACCAGTACAATTTTTAATTTCGATAGCAACCGAGACCTGGCTCCAGCAGGGGCAGAGCACCGTCACACAGCGAGGCAGAACAGACCTGTCGCATACACACATACACACACATACATACATATATACACACATATACATATATACACACATACGCATAAATACATACAATCATACATGCACACATGCATACACACATACATATATATATATATATATATATATATGTATATATGGTTTGAAATTTAAGAGATTTGCAGTGTCAGTCCCGTAACCCTTTTATCGGGAAGCCCGCACTGGCCATATATATATTTATTTAATTATTTATTTAGACTCATTTATATTTATATTTATATTGATATGTATATGAAGTACTCTTTTAAAAGCAGAGTTAGTATGCTATCAATATGAAGGCTACGCTATCAAACAGTTGGGCCTTGACCTTTTTGGAGGGTTAACACGTCACATATTTGTGTGTGTCACGTATAAGACATCGTAAGGCGAGTACGATTGTGTATCAACTCGTGACAGTAGCCTAATTCGAATTTAGACAGGGCCGACTCCGAGGCTACAGCCAAATAAGGGATAGCTGTAAAATGACTCCGTCGCATCGCCTCCGGGATGCCTGGAGTCTAGCTTCATAGGATTCGCGAATTCGTCACATACGTGTGAACCGAGTATGGGACACAGTTAACACAGGGACAGCAAACCGTGAATGGTCAGGATAGGTGGGGTAGTGTGTGTGGGGTTCTTTTGAGTGTGTGTGCGTGTGTGTGTGTCTGTATGTGTGTGTGTGTGTGTGTGTGTTTTGAGTGTGTGTGCGCGCGTGTGTGTGTGTATAGATAGACTAGGGTTTTACACATTTAGGTTCCGGGAATAGGAATTCCTGGGAATTCCCGGGTAGATTCGTTTGCTTCCGGGAAGGTTTTCCAGGAATTCCTGTGGAGTGATATTTACGTTCCAGGAAGATGTAAAAACCTGAGATAGACCACCCGAAGGAGAGAGCAGCATGCCAACAGGTGTATATAAATAAATATAAATAAACTTAAATAGAATACATATGTGGCCCAGGTGCACACATATGTGTGTGTGTGTGTGTGTGTGCGTGTGTGTGCTTGGGGGATGGGGGGGTACCAAGAATGACGCCTTTTAAGAGCACGCGCGAAAATTTGACTTTCTGTTGGCAGAGGAGCAGAAAGCCGAGGGGCGCCAACCATAAGACCTGATATTGTTAGTGAGTTATTGTTAGTCATTTGTCGAAACAAATCAGAATTATCTTGTGTAAGACTGCTAATTCTTGTCCAGAAAAACCAGATCCGGACTAACGGCTCAAAAGCCTCGCGAAGCCGAGGCCAAAACGCCTCCAGGCTAACGCTGAAATAATTTAAGGGCACTGTATTAGTGTTAGGAGTAGTGTGTATAAATATCCAGGAGTACGTCCGTCCCCTGGTAGGTCTGCACTAGACCCAAGCGTTGAGAAAACACTCGGATCAAGGGACCTCAACAGAGCACACGGATACCGTCCCGAGGCTGCATCAAGAATAACACTATTAATATTTTTTTGATAATCATCATCATAATATTATCATTTATAATATCATTCTCATTCTCATTCTTATTCTCATCATCATTATCATCATTATCATCATAATTGTTATTATTATTATTATTAATAATAATATTACGAAAAAAAGCGTACCACCTCTGCACGCAACGTAGCGATGGCAGGGAGCAGAAGGCCAGTGGCGTGGGGTGTGATGTGTGTGTTTTGTGTGTATGTGTGTGTGTGTGGATGGGGGGAATGGCGGGCTTGACTATCTTTAATTCGAAAAGCTTCAAATACTTTTTGATTCAGTGATTTTTAAATGCGAGGTTCGTACCAGTTCAGCGCGCAGCACGGCGATTGCGGGAACTAGTGCGAGCAGCGAAGACTCATGTTTGCCTTCTAGCCACAGACCGAGCTATTTACGAGTAAGGTATTCGAAGTGGAAAGGACACGTATTCATGTTAGTATGTATTGCAGAAAAAAAACGGATCAAACACGAAAATTCCACGTGGCACTTGAGAGGCTCAGGCCGAGCTGATAAATTATTATTCTAGATCGTGGACAAGAAGCACGTTGTGGGATACAGGTTATCGGAGGATATTTGTCTGTAAATTATGTGCTACAGGTTCGGCATGTGCGCAGGCGAGCTGCATTTTGAGACGAGCGAGAGGCAGCAGCGGCCGGTCAGCGCGTGAGTCAGAGAGTCGTCGATTATCGTGAGTCTGATCAGCCTCAGTGGTTGAGATGGTATCCGTGTGCTCTGCAAAGGTCCCTTGATCCGAATGATTCTCAACACTTGGTTCCAGTGGATACCTGTCAGGGGACGGACGTATTTCTAGATATTTACACAACACAAGACCGAACTGTTCATCCTCATTCTTATTCATTACATCATGGGTTCAAATTAAAATAGGGTTAGGTAAGGGTAGGGACGCGCAGGGCGTGGGACCGCTGCCTCCGGCAAGAAGGGTAGGTGACTGACTACATTATCATTTTCATCATCATCATCATTATTAAGGGTATTATTAAAAAATAATAGAGCTGAATTATAAAGAGCTTGGGATCCTGTTCGCGCTCAACTGTCAGCGAACGGTTCAGATGATTGTCTCGCCTCAGCCGTCGGAGTACAGGCGCAATGCCCCTACGCCCCCGACAGGGGTTGCAAGTGGGGAGGCGTTAAAAGAACTATTATTTAAAAAATCTTACCGATGCGTTTGCGAAGAGTAAGGCGAATGTGTTGGGCAGAGTGCGGCTTGCGTAGAAGGGCAGGTGGAACTGCGCACAAAAGGATCGTGGCGGAGAGACGACGCAGGGAGTAAGATAGCATATGAGACGACCGATGCGCTGACCCTCCCATGTCATGCCCGTACGCCTTCGGGCTGCAAGTCGGGGGACGTTAAAAGAACTATTATTATAAAAAGCACATTACCAAACGTAAATATGGTGGTGTGAGTGTTGGG